TTGAACTTTCAACTAGGTGGGGAAAACTAGGAAGCTTTCAGATTCGGGTTTTCCCAGATGTGCCAACATGGCTCTCTTAATAAATTGGAAACTTTGAGCAATACTTTGCCTTGGACTCTGATTTAATTTTGGATGCTATTTGGAACCCTGACATGCGTCCTGAATGTCTTAATAGATACGTTCTAACAGGATGTTGGGAAATGGCCCAGCCGGACAAAGAGGAGGGATCAAATGGGGAACTAGCCTTGAGTCTTTGTGCAGCCGCAAGAGACTTAAGCTTGACCCTCTCCTAAGTTCCATGGAACTTTACCTGTATATTCCCAAGGGAAGCCAAGCAGTAGCATCCTTGGTGCTCTCTGAGCTTGGTGATTTTCTTGAAGACTTCATTACCCAATTAGGTAACATCATCAATGCGGCAAACAGTTTGGATAGATTCCTGTAGTATAGGTAGACCACAATGAAGTAGTAAATTTGAACCTTTAGATCTGGTTGCTAGCCCCTGACATGCGAGGAGTTAGGAAAAAAACAGGGAAGGTACTGGAAACTTTGTGAATTGGAATAGTTTGGGTGAAAGCAGGGGTGGGTTCCAGCTGCCACTACAGCCGGTTTGCTTGGGTGAGTGCTTTGCACGCACACGCTTGGTTGTGTGCTGTGCGTGCACACGCAGTACCATTAAAATTGTTCTGTGCATGCGTAGAAATGGAAAAAAAAGATGGCAACACTAATAGCGCTGACCGGGGAACCAGTTCAGGGGTGTGGTAGGCCTGGGTCGCTGCCGGTTCCAGTGACCCAGGCTGCCAAACCACTACCGGTTCAGTCGAACTGATCCGAACTGGTAGGAACCCACTAGTGAGTGAAAGTGGCATGGATGGAAGAATGGGGAAGATGTAGACGTCATTAATTTGCACCTGGGATTGCTGATGGCACGTATATGAAACATGTGCAAGAAAACAACCAAGCTTAGTGAGTACCAAGGACCCCATGGTTGAAACCTGAACCACAACAGATTCTCTTCTATTGTTATATTAGAGGCAATTTCCATTTGGGAACTCTCCTTACAATTGTGATATGCGTTTCTTGTGGAAAAGCAAATCCCAATTTCGCAGCTGGCATTACAGCAGCATGTCCTTAAGTCAACTAACAATTTATTATATAAGGACATGGCCAGGAGGTGGTTTGGCCCGGAGGGTTTTTCTTCCGGATGTTCTTGCCATAACTCAAAGGAGCTGGAGGGAGGCTGTGTCGGATATTAGGGACAAGATGAAGCTTGCATTCATTACATGAAGTTTAATATAAATCAGGCCAGCTAATCTATGCTGGAGTTCTAGAGTTTCAGGGCTGCTTATTACAATCGTACCCCGGTGAGAGAGAGAAAAAAGTTTCCAGTCTTCTTTCTGCTGTTAAAGAGAAAGGGGAAAGGGAATAAACAAGGAGGGGGCTTAGCAGTGTTGCATCTGACAACCACTGGGATGGAAAACCAGAAAAAAATCAGAGATTGCAAGGTCTGAGAAGGAAGGAAGGAAGGAAGGAAGGGAGGGAGGTAGGGAGGGATGGGAGGGAGGGAGGGATGGGAGGGAGGAAGGAAGGAAAGCAGAGAGAAGAGGAAGGAAGGAGAGAGAGAGGGAGAAAAGCAGAGAGAAGAGGAAATAAGAGGACGGGAGGGAGGAAGGAAAGCAGAGAGAAGAGGAAGGAAGGTGGGAAGGAAGGAAGGAGAGAGGGAAGGAAGAAAGCAGAGAGAAGAGGAAGGAAAAGGATGGGAGGGAGAAAGGAAAGCAGAGAGAAGAGGAAGGGAGGGAGGTAGGAAAGCAGNCTCTGGCACGCATGCCATACATTTGCCATCACGGTGTTATGGTTATCAGAAGACCGGCCTACTGCAAAACACAGAAAACTACCGTACTTTTTGGAGTATAAGACATACTTCTCCCCCACCCTAAAAAAGGGTGGAAATATCACTGCATCTTATACACCAAGGCACTTGTACTTAGGGCTGTACAAATACAGCCATTTTTGGCCTCCCAAAACCCTGCCCTGCCACCCTGTTTTTGCCTGGGAGAGCAAAAAACAGATGCGTGGGGCCAAAAACTATTATTATTTTTGTTTTCCTTGGTGCGTCTTATACTCCGGAGCGACTTATAGCCCAAAAAATATGGTAGTCTTATATATGTCACCTCAGGAGTTTTTAAACCTTCCCCCCCCCCCCTTCTTGCATTGAAGGTTGACTCTGCCTTCCATCCTTCCAAGGTGGGTAAAATGAGGACCCAGATTGTTGGGGGCAAGGGGATGACTCTTTAAACTGCTTAGGGCTGTAAAGCACTGTAAAGCGGTATATAAGTCTAAGTCCTATTGCTATTGACTTGACTGCATTGATTCTTGACTGTGCTTTCCTCAACCTTGAAAATCAGAGATATCTGTTCAATGTTTACAGAACAGCTCTGTCTGCCTTGAAAATAATTGAGCCCTCCCTCACCAGCTTTAACCCTGACACCATGAGATCCCCAAATGACTTGTGGCAAAGTGTAGACCCTTCACTCATTATTCTTCTACGTTTCCATTTTATTTCGCTCAGTTGTCATGTCCACCTCTCTTATGTGTGTCTGTGTGTGCCTTTCTTAATAGGCACATTGTCAGGCCTGCAGCCATTTTTCTTTGGGATCTTTGGCCTGCCACACTTTCTATGATTCTACTATGCATGTTCTATTGTGGGAAAGTGGGAGGGGGGATTGTTGGAGTGAGATGTGATGTAGCCATAACAAAATTCTTTCTAAAAAGCCAAGGTCATCCTTTGTCTTCACATGTCTGCACCTGACTGGAACTGGATGGGTGGAACTGCCAGCATGGCAGTGGAAGATTGGACCACGTGATGGATTTGTGAGTGTGGCCATGGAAGATTGGACAATGCAAGATCTTGAACTTTCAACTAGGTGGGGAAAACTAGGAAGCTTTCAGATTCGGGTTTTCCCAGATGTGCCAACATGGCTCT